ATTTTTAATTTTTAATATTATTTTGAGAGTAGAAGATCTCTACTATAAATAAGCTATACTTTTTATTTTATTTATTTTAAGAATAGAAGATTTCTACTATAAATAAGTCATATCTAGTGATAGAAGTCATAACTAGCTATAACTTTGTCACAATTTTCTGATTGATTGTCATAACTTTGTTATAATTCTCTGATTAATTATCACAAGTCACAACTAGTTGAGAAGTCATCTTTAGTCATATACCTTTTTATTTAATTATTGAGTTTTCATATTTTAATTTTTATTTTTTATTTAGTCATAATCTTCTTTAATTAATAGTAGCTTTACTATTTAAATATCTTAAATCTTGAATTATATTGATTACTAGTAACTTTACTAAGCTGATATTTATAATTTCTTTAATTTATTTTATTCTTTATTTATTTTACCCTTCATTAAGATAATATTTGTAGATATTGACACAGGCTTTAGAAATCTTTATCATTATTGAAAGTTATAGTTTAATTCCTCTCTCTTTATCTTTTAATTATTTCAGTCTCTTCCAACTTTATATTGTTAAGATGAATTCAAGTGAAAATCTACTTATCAGATTTGCCATAATAATATAATAGTTTTTTTTATATAATCTTTAAATTTATTTTAAAACTCATATTAATTAATAAAGTTTGAAAATTTAGTTAATAATATAATTTTAATAAATTTTTAAATATATAATCTAATCTTTAATTTGTTATTATTAAATAAAATAATATTAATATTTAGTTATTTTTAATATTACATATTAGATATGTAACTCTTAATTAAAAATTATATGATTAATGAGATTTACAGTATTATTTATTTGAGTACTTGTTTTCATATCTATTCATATAAAATATAGACTCAGCCGATCCGCGTAAATGATCTATAATGTAATTCCAGCACTATAGAGCTTGAAAAAAGTAATTGAACAGCTTGACGCTTGCTCTTGCTCATTTTGAATAGTAAAAGTAGCGAGATTCTGAAAGTACTGTGAAATCACTATGCTGATTATCCCCACATTTTATATAGTAATAAAGACATTTCTATCCCTGATCGGCGAATCACGAATTAAATATTCCATTTAATTTTTTGACGTTAGCCAGAATTATAATTTAAATTTTAATGCTGGCCAAAATTAAATATGATTTTTATTTCAAACTAATATTTATGATTTCCCAAACCAATATTTACGGGTCGGCCTACAACATACTTAGTAGTTGTGGCAGCTGATGCTGAAATCGACCAATGAAATTAGAGAACAAAACGAATTTAAATCGCGCTCGGCTTCAATATAATCCTGGTGCAACAATTAGTGAATAAATCATGTGTTCAGATCACGTCATCATGGGAAAAATAAAAAGTGAGCAACGTGTTAATAAATGAATCGAACTTTGTGAAGATCAAAAAAAGGCAACGATGTACTTTTTTATTACATTGTTTGGTACAAATGAACGAAAATCATAACGAAATGTTCGTCCAATTTGTATCACAATAATCTCAATTGATTCATTGTCAACTTTTTTTCTTTCTTCTTTCCATAAAGATGAAGATTAACACGTCTCTGTCGACATTATTCCTCACGTTATTGGTGGTCATTGTGGTTGCTGTTATAAGTGATAGTGATGCCGTTACCCCTACAAATTTGGAGCCTATCCCGTTGACATACAAAACTTTTACGAAAAAAATTTCAAAGGGTACCTGGTAAGAATTTTGGTGGGCTGCCGTGTCATAAAGCGCTGATAATAATAACGGTTACTCTTTAAAGGCTGGTTAATTTCATGTCCCCTTATTGTTCACACTGTAAAAGATTTGGTGAGAATTTTCTTTTATTCATTGTTCACGCTTTTTTTCGCCGCTTCCATTTTTTAATTTACTGCGCCCAATTTTTCTTTATTCAAAGAACCAATATGGAAATCACTTTCCGAGGAATATGCACCTTTTCGTAGAACAAAAAAATTTTTTATTGCCGAAGTGGATGCTACTCTCTATGGAGGCATGATTATCTAATCATTTCATACATTTATTCTGTACATTATTGTTTTTTTTCTCTTTGTTAATATATAGTTTGATTTTAATATTCGTCTAGATCTCGCTGTACAAAATGATGTGACATCAACTCCCACATTAATTTTGTAAGTTGCATAGATTTATTGTTTGTTAATTTTTTGTTTGAATGGATGAGGATGTTCATCCCGAATCTAAGACGCATCCGATGCATCAATACGAGAATAAAGTTCAAGAATACAATCACGTCTCATTATCAAAAGAATAGTTAAAGATAAAAACAGTCATTTCAACACACAAAATAACATTCAACAATTTAATGGCTCGTCTGTTCATTGAAACTTATACTATTTAGTGCAATACTTTATTTAACCCCATAACAGATTCAATAATGGCCAAAAAATTGAAAAATACACAGGCGGAAAAGACATTGACTCTGTCAAAAAATACATTCTACAAAAATCTGACGAATACAAAATTTCAGTAGATCCCAATGCACCAGAAGAAGAGGATGACGACGAGGAAGAGCAAGGGGAGGAAGAGACTCCAGTCGAGACCGATTCACAGCCAGAACCTGAACCTCTGTTCAAGAAGATTAAAAAACCGGTTGTGGCGCCAAATCAAGATGGAAAAGTTGTGGTGCTTGGCGCGGCTAATTGGGACTTGACTAATGATTCGGGGCCTTGGTTTATCGATTTTTTTGCTCCGTGGTGTCCACATTGTAAGAATTTGGCTCCCATTTGGGAGGAATTAGCACCAAAATTAATAAATAAAGTTAATTTCGGAAGTGTTGATTGTACTGTTGAAGGAGGTTTGCATCTCATTCTTTCTTGTTTGATTGATTATACTACATCAAATTTGTAATAATTCGCGTCTTGTTCCCTTATAAATATATAGATCTTTGTAGTAAATATGAAGTTCGTGGATATCCATCATTAAAATTGTACGCTTATCCTCTTTCTATGTATTGAAGTTTCTCTCTTGCTTGTTTGTATTCAATGTATTCAATTAATTTTATATGCCAATTATGTAGATTCATGTATGACGATATAATTGAATATAAAGGGGCTCGAAAACTGCCAGAACTCCTTGCGTTTGCAGAAAAGGCAGCAACGGCAGGAATAGTTGAAATTGCAGCTGACGAATTTGAGCATACAATGAAAAAGAAAGATGTGTCGTTTATTTATTTGTACGACGATCAAACTCCGGCGGATTTATTGGTGAGTGGATGATTGAATTAAATCTATGGATCGTCTCTTTTATCAATTAGATTAACCTATCTATTGTTGTATGTTTCAATAAAAGGATATAATGGATTCATTAGCCCATACTTTCTTCGCAAATGCCAAAATTTACTCTAGCAAAGATCCACAACTTGCACAAAATCTTAAAGTCTACCAAGTACCAGCACTAGTCGTCATAAAAGACGAGATACATAAATCTTATCATGGAACAGAGCCATCCGCATTCCGAGACATCGAGAGTCTCAAAAAATGGATAGATTCTGAAAAATATCCATTGGTCGTTGCACTAAACTCTGAAAACTCGGAAGAAATATTGAGCGGCGACCGACTAGTCGTCTTGGGTGTTTTCGATCCGAAGAGTGGCAAGGTTTTCAATAAAGCCAAAGCGTCATTGAAAAGTGTTGCTCGAAGATACTTTCTGCAGGTAAAAAGACGTGGTGGAACAGAAGAAGGGCGTGCAGTCATTTTTGCGCATATTGATGGTAGCAAATGGTCCGATTACATCTATCGTGTTTATGGATTGAAATCCACTGATTTGCCGTCTGTTATAATCACCGATCCAACGGTATTATTTTTGTTTGTCTATTTGGGTTTTTTTTCCTATTCACGATTCTCGTTTCTAATGTGTGCTCCTTTTTTTTTGAATAGGTTGAAGAGTATTACGATAAGACAAAGAACGGAAATAAATTAACCTTTGAGGAATTATTTGACGCTATTCATGATGTAAAGAAACATTTATTAAAGGGAACAAGCACAATGAATTTTATGGAAAGAGCAATAAAGGTAATTAATCAGTCGCGTTGATTAATATTTTTTTCACTAGTTAATTGATTTGAATGAATTATTCACTTGGTTTTTTTAAATAGCATTCGTATCGAAAAGTATGGAATCATCCATTCATCACATTGATGTTTATTGGAGGTTCCTTAGCTGGAATTTGGTATTGGTGTTTTTCGAAACCTGCTATCAAGAATGGAAGAGGCTCCTATCATCATCCATCAGAACGAGGGTATCCGAAATTCGAATAGTGACTTTTGTCGATTATTATCAAGCGGGAAACAAATTTTTGAGTTTTTATATATTGATAGTTTCTTGAGTAAATAACAAACATGTATAGTAAAAATATATAGTAAAATTTTGAACACTTGACTTATAAATAAAAACGGTGATGACCTACAAATTCAATCACCGATCTGATAACGATAAGTTAATCCTAGTTCTGAAAAGTATAGTGTTAACTTTTATGTGTAAAACACGCGTTTCTAAAAAAAACCAAAACTAATTTTTGTTTGAACTAAAACACATTTGATTTCACTATCAATAATAATCGTATCTAAGAATGGCCACATCGACAAAAACCAAGAAACTTACTGATCAAGGTAAACATTGATTCATTAAAGAATACTATTATTTTTTATTATTTAAAGTTTGAAGAACTCGATTTTTGTTTATTTTCTTGAATATTTATACTATGTATGTATATAATACTGATTCTACGCAGAAATCACAATTCAATTTAATAATATGAAAAGTGAACTGCAAACTCTTGCACAAAAGTTAGGAGAATTAGAACAAGATGCCGAGGAACACAAGTAAGTTGTTTTTATCTAATTCTCGATCTATTCTTGGTGATCGAAATGATAGTATGATGATAATTGTGGACGCGCTTAGTTTTCGCTGAATAAAACCGTTTTTACATAATAATAGAGCAGTGATTGATACTCTAGTCCCACTAAGTGGTGATCGCAAATGTTTTCGTCTAGTTGGCGGGGTACTTGTAGAACGGACAGTTAAAGAAACACTGCCGGCTTTAAATACAAATCACGAGGGTGTTAGTATTTAATGATTTGTATAATCATGTAAACGTAAGATGTTTTTTTTGTACTTACGAAACCGATTGTAATTTAGATTCGAAAAGCAATGGATACACTTTTGGCGCAATACAAGAAAAAGGAAGAAGATTTTAACGCGTTTCAAAAAGAGCATAATATTCGTGTGGTGTCTCGATAATTTACTATTGCTGTTATATAAGTCACGATTTATGGGAAATGTATTATAATTTGTTTGGTTAGTTAATTTATTGTTGAAATATCTGCATAATAATTTTTCAAAAAATATATATATATATATATAGTTTTTCTATGCTCTTAATAAATAAAATTAACTATATAAAAGATTTGATCCTATTAAAACAATTAACACCCATGCAGCATTTCAAAGAGAATTCTCTTCCTTTGATGGTGACGACGATGCAAGGGTATCTGGATCAAGTTCCTCAATAACACCAAACACATCTTTGAACCTCTTCACATCTTTTTCAAAAGTTCCATTCTTGATGGACTCACGAATATCTTGAAAAAATTGTGCATACTGTAAAAGATTGTGACTACAATTATTCAAAAAAAAATAATAATTTTCTCTTAGGATAAAGGTTGGTTAGACATATATTAAGACACGACACACGTGGGCTGAGTGCAATAGAAACGATGTAAATTCTATTAGAAATACTAATAGAATTTACATCGTTTCTATTGCACTCAGCCCATGTATACACACACCTTATCAACAGAATAGAACCAAGCATTTCTCGAGCTTTAACTAAGTGATGAACGTATGCTCGGGAGTGGTTCAGACACGCGATGCATGTACACGTCGGTACAAATGGACGAAAATCTTTTTTGAATTGTGAATCAAACAGATTGATTGAATGGGAAATGGTAGAACTTTTTGAAGCCTCTATGCCATTTTGATTATTGAAAATTTTTAGTGAGAAGGTAAGCGCGTGCCCACTTTCGGCCATTTTTGTAGGATAACTGGTGTCAAAAAGATCGATGCCTGCTGCAATTCCTGCAAAGATCCCGTCTTTATTATTGACAGCATGGTATTAGTATAAATGGTAAATATTTTTTTTTGAGTTGTACATATATTTATCTATATGTAAACATAAACCAACCTGGAGTTCCCAATCCGTAGGCAAATCGAGGCTTATCTTCAGGTAAACAATCAAGAGAAATTTTAAAAAGATCAATTCGTTCTTCCAAAGTTGTCCCCAAAGCAAGACCTTGCAGAACGAATCCTAACATGATACAAATTTTAATCAATCACTACCAAAGATTATTTTTTTATATTTAATCGAACACAAAAGCTAACCCAGTTACCCGAAACATCACGTTTTACGGTTTCCTTAGCGCATCTCTTACGTTCCTCATGATATTGATCACCTACAAGCACGCCAAACACGTGAATGCCTTCCTGGATACGACGATCTGCGGTAAGCTATTCATTCACTATCCTATTTGTTGTAAAGAAAAAGAAAGAAGGAAAGACTCTCAATGACAACGTACCTTTTTATTATTCAAAAGTTCATCTAACCATTGCAACGTCCTAGTTACAGATTTGCTTACCCTATTCTGACCCGGCTTCTTAGAGTATAGTATATCTGCCATACTTGTCACGATATCCGGTTTATATATATTCGTATAGTCGATGTAATTCTTAGGTGTGACCTTTATTATTTATGAGTTTTATGGGTGAATTTAGTTTGATATGAATAGTCAAAGGTTAAGCACCTCAAAGAAATGCTTAATACCTTTCGTACTCCCTGATGCGTCCGCACGGCTACATAATGTTCAGTATTGAAAGATGATATCTGTATCTTGCCTGGATCTCGAATATCATAGAACACCAAAAAATCTTCAAGATTCAAGAACTTATGTATACCATCAGGAAATTGTGTCGAGGGTGGTGGTTGAACATCTACACTACAAAATTATCAATCGCACATATATCACATGCATAAAAATTTAAACTTTTTTGTATTAATGTCATGTCATATCCACATTGATTATCATTAATATATTTGCAAACATACAAATGCTCTAAAGTCACTTGAACGGCACCAAACGGTAAAAGACGCAAGTTATCCGGGGTCAGATGTGGCACTGAACCTTTTATCGTGTATAGAATGCAGTTGGGCGTTCTTATTGTTTTTTCACGAAACGTTAGTTTCCCTAGACGAATGGAGCTCTCGGTGGGCTTCAGTATGTTAAATGATAAAGTATTCATTATTCTATATGAGCACACTTCAACAATCAAATCAAAAATAATTACAGGATCAAATTTCAGTCAGTCTGCAAACTTTCTACATCGAACAATCCAAGCGATGATTTGATTATACTAAAATATCCCAAAATTTCTAAATCCGCTGTCATCATTGGAATGTAACAGGTCAATGCGGGTTTGCATTCAATCATCAATGACAGGTTATGTAAGGGAAAATCACTTTTCTGTTTGTGTGTTGCACAGTTTACATAATTGCTACGATTAACTTTACGATAAACTTTGAGTACATGCCATTGCTTGTCTGGAACAGTGAAAAATCTAAACCATATAATTTTTTAACCAATCAAATTACAAAGATCGTGTGTAACAAAAAAATTTACTTCCAATGGTCCGCGCACCATTCATTCACATAATGTGCTGACATTTTGTCTATCTTTTATTTGTAGCACAGTATCCTCTATTATTTTTGCGTTCATGTGAGTGAGAATCAGGTGATTAATGAATAACTAATTTCTGAAATGGTAGATTTTTATATATAATCTCCGTTAAGATGCAATTGATCATGGAAAATTCAAACACAGCAATTATATATTATTAAAATTTTATTTAAAGAACCAACTAAATGAATTTGGCGGAGTTAATAGACAGGAAAATTTGGATCAACATCCTTTGACCATTGATAATACCCGCCAATCACATCTTTTATTTCCCCTTGAGTGATTCCTCGCAATAAAGGCACTGCATGCTGTGAATCATTTCCCAGTCGACATATTGAATATACTTGAAAAAGGAAGATAGAATTAAATCAATCGACTTCCCTGTATATTAAAATTCATAATGATAATCATCAAATCATTAATTTACCCGGCGTGTTTGAGAACGGTAATGCCTTTCTTATTTCTTCGAGCCTTTCGGGTAGTTCGCGTAATGGGATATCTTTGTGAAAGATGAATAACTTTTCAAAAGAAATGACGAGTTGTACTTTATGAATATGGCTATTAACTTACTTATTGAGTCGGGTAGATGGCAAATTTCAAATTGAACTTTTTCCCGTACGTCAAGCAAGATATGACGTGTTTTCTGTGCACGAATAGCCGCGTACTCCTAATATTAATGATCAATGTAAAACATGACTGCAAGAATGTTTTGAAATGATTTTAAAAAAGTAGTCTTTTTTTCACCTTTGGATTGATACGTTCTTCCTTTCCAAGTAATCTGACAGTAGGAGACTTTATTTATAATATATAATGATCGATTAAAACTACAACTTCTAAAAAATACTCTTAAATTTAAAAAGAGAAATAGATACCTTATCTAGAGCACCACTCCCACAAAATTGTACATAATCCTGCAATTCGGTTATTGATGGGCTATCCCCACATACCTCACAATCAGATTTCTTTGGTCGTAATTTTATGAAACGAAATAAAGGATGAGAAGCAGCAGAGAAGAGAAGAAGATTGGGAATATATGTTTCATCTATGTTTTGATCAATTAATCAAATAAATAATTAATTTAAAAATAAAAATTCTATTCATAGCTAACCATTTATATTCGTGGCTATTTTGATCGCCTCTAAAGCTTGTAAACAGCCAATTACGCCGGTGACTATTTAGAAAATTAATATATATATGAGATATACATATAAAATTAACTCTATGTTTAAAATTAATGTCAAAACAAACCAACTCCCAAAATTCCGCCATCAGCGCAATTAGTCACAGTCTCAGGTGGTGGAGGCTTTGGATGTAAACAACGATAACATGGACCACCACGATAATTGTAAGTTGTCAATTGTCCTTCCATGCGTAATGCACTCCCCGATATCAACGGCTTTCCAGTAATTACACACGCGTCATTAAGTAGATAGCGCGTTGCCACGTTATCAGTCGCGTCGATTATAATATCATATCTGAAAATAAATGAAACTTCGTGTCTAGCGAATTGTGTGCATATTAAATATTTAACATATATTACAAATGCTTACTCTTTCACAATCGGTAACGCATTCGAACTATCAAGCTGTAAATCATAGGCGATGCATTCAACAAGAGAATTTAATCTTTAAAAAAATTAAAAAATGAAATTTATGAAAAAAAGCTATCACGTTAAATTATTCAAGATACCATTAATGTACCCTTCTACAGTCTTTTTCGCTGACTGAGCTTTTGAAAGTCCCGCCCGTGACTCGTT